AATTATACTAAGTATGAAAATACAATAAGCTCAAGTGGGTGTGTGTAAACAATGAGAATAAATAAGACTTAACTCAAGAAGAACTAGCAATAAAATTGATATGTGTGTGTAAACAATGAGAATAAATAAGACTTAACTCAAGAAGAACTAGCAATAAAATTGATATGGAATATAATAGTAAAAATGCTAGGAAATAAAGTTAAGGAAACTTCTCTATAAACACGAAGAGAGGATGATGAAATATTGAACATGAACTCTTCAACAACTGATGTAAGCTCCTCGTTGTAAAACCCCAAACTTAAAACAAACTAACCAAGCTTAAACCCTTATTAAACTTTTGTTTTAAAAACTTCTTGGTTGGTTTGAGAGATGAGAGCAAGGAGTATATATAGTCTCCCAAAATCTCAGCCAAATAACCCCTAAGGAAAAGACAAAAAAGTCCAAGAATCAGAAATCTGATTCTGTACCAAAATGACCGTTGGGCGGTCGACCGTGAGTTTTTCGCGATCGACCGCGAAGGTCATCAAAACTGAGAAAACGATCAAAAAAGGCTACGGTCGACCGTGACGGTTGACCGCAAGAGTTCCCGAGCAGACGGTCGATCGCGAAAGTTTCTGCTAGCTCCTGAGGAAAAAATACAGTCGCGGTCGACCGTGACGGTCGACCGCAAACAGATATATGAAATAACAGGTTTATAAGCAATTTGATGATTTTGAAATCCTGTTTAAAAATATCAAATAAATTCTAAAAAATATAAAACTTTGGGAAATAATTGTAGACATGATAATACACATGCTACAAAAATTAATTTTTAGAAAGGACCTCCTAAATAAAAAATATCATCATTTTACAAAATAGTCAAAAACATAAAAATGTGAACATATGAGTTTTGACATTTTAGCTTAATCATGTTTTGAAACATTACAAAATGATTTTATAGACTTAATAAAAGATGCATATAATTATTATTAAGTCCAAAACCTGAGAATACAATATTTTCACAAAATTGTATATTTTTGCAAACATTTCAAAAGCAATAAATATGATTTCATTAAATATAAACTTGATATTGATAAAATCATATATAAGCATGTAAACACGAAACAAAAATGTATTTTCCAATTATATTCAATTGTTTCATATTTAAACTTGAAAAACCAAAACAATAAATATAAAGGATGTAATTTCATATTTATATATACTTGGAAACCAAAACATGTATGTATATATACGACTATATATATATACATAGAAAAACCAAAACGTGTATGTGTGTGTATGATTGAGCTTAAAGTACTAACACACATAATATAAAACCTAAACTAAATTACCCAAGCTTGATCTTGATCTTCAATAACTTGACTTGGTAATCTTGCGGATGAATCTTGAACTTGAATATTTAACTTGAATTGCATTGCTTCAACCACTATTCCGCCAACCTCCATTGGATATGATCGTGAATGTGCAATTTCATCCATCCTCCAACTTGTTGTTTGTCTATAATAAATAAATAAACACAAATATTAGATAAACAACATTAGTGGTAAATTGTTTGTTAAACATCATCAAAATAAAGAGACCAACACACATCATGAAGGAGTAACATTCTTTTGGAGAGTATATGTTCATCTCTACATCGTGTAGATCTTGACCTAATCAGTAGGCCCACCCTACTTAGACCTGTCCGTGTCCGTCTCCCACTCAGGAACCATTCCATTGCTCCCAAGTGGATGCAAACACATCAAACTTTGAACAAATTGACTTGCACCGAACCCGGGTCATTCGTCAAGTCCAGTATTCTCAAGAATGACCTCATCTCATTGCTCAATCTAAGCGATACAGCTTCTTCATAAATGCCGATTTCTATCAGCGGGATTCATGATATTCTCATAGACTAGTCATCTCATCTTTATTCGTTCGATCATATTGCCAAAGGCGACTTATATGAGTTCTGAATAACCTAGCAAAGAGAGGCTTCGCCAGCAGGTCAGAGATCATGCACTCAGTGGGTATGTACTCCAAGACCACTTCGTATGAATAGTTCCTTATAAAGTTGGACTTTATATCTACTTGTTTTGTCTTCATGTGGTACTTGGCCTTCTTGGCATGATCTCATTGCTGCCATGCTATCACAGTACAATTTGACAAGATCTGATGCATGTGGTATGATTTCAAGATTCTGTAAGAACCCTCGTAACTAGATTGTCTCTTGTGTTGCGGCTGAACCAGCAACATACTTGGTCTCTATCATGGAAAGCGCGACGAATGTTTGTCTTGCTTCAACCAGAGACGGTCCTACCTCAAGCAAGAAAACATACGCCAAAGTTGACTTGCCCTCATCGTAATTACATGCTCAATAAGCGTTTGTGTATCCTTTAGTCACAAATCCGAATGTCCATAGCACAACATAATCTTGAGTACCCTTTAGGTATCATATCACCCTCTTCGCTGCTGTCCAATGTGGTTTTGTTGTTGAGATGATATTTTTTGATAACTATCAATTGGTTAACATTGATATGATTGAAGATCTCATTATAATTTATTCTTATCTATGGAGATTTGTCCATTAATCAGTTGTTCCTATGTCTTAGTTGAAGCTCTTTCTATAAATAAGGGTAAGTTTCATGCTTTTCACACTACACTTCCATATACTCAATGGGGGACGGGCTCAATTTGATCGGAAATTGTTGGTGCCGTAGTTCCCTCTCCCATCAGGATCCAAGCCGGTTCATCTCTAGCTGCAAATCAGAGCACGGATCCAGGGTATACCCCCCTTTCAGGGATCTGACAATAGATAATGATTTGTAAAGGTTGTTTAACTTCACTACAATAGTAAATTTTTTTAACTTAAGGAAAATGCTTAGGAGTGTAAATAGAGTTTGATATTCTTGTAAGTAAATACTGATTTTGTTTATGTATGTGTATCTAGCTGTGAAGTTGAGAATATTCTAAATTTGAAGTTAGATTTAATGTAAACACCAGATTTAGAATCAGATGTCTGATTTTTTACTTGACATTCAAGCCATTAGTCCATTGCATATATTGCTCTAGATAACACACTATTAGCCATTATTATTCACATACAATACATGATCAGTATGGTCCATTAGTTCAAATAGCATATAACTAGCCATTATACATAGGGGTGGAAATTTATCCAATTGAATCAAATAATGCCTTTTCAAATTCAAATTCAGGTAAACTTCACTATTCTGGTTTGAATTTTATTGAATACCACGTGGTATTTGAATTAAATTTGTTTTAATACTTAGCTATTCGCCAACTATGCACAATATCTGATAGCCCAATTGGTAGAAACAAAATGTTCTAATCCTTGTGGTGTAGGTTCGACCCCGTGTCAGTTATTTGATCCTCTTTTTTTGTGTGCTTTTTCCATATATATTCTCAAAATTGTATCTATATTTTTAATTTGCCCTCCAAATCCTTTTTTGTTTTATTGTGGTCGTTTTTTCTGTATATACCCTCCGAATTTGTGTCTATGTTTTAATTTTCCCTCCAAGTCCTTTCTTGTTTTCTTGTGGGGGTTTCTTTTGTAAATACCCCTTAAATTGTGTGTATTTTTAAATTTGGCTTCCAAATTGTTATAATTTGTAAAACATAAATGATTATCTAATAATCTGATGAATCAAACCCATATCTCGTTAAATTTTATTCGTTGATAAACCGATACTAACATCTATTAGCTATTAAATGAACTATCAGATCCAATATATACTTCAACAAATAATTAACGAACTATTTCTTAATTATTTGGTTCGTTCCACCATAATTATACACATTATTACACAAGATCATTATATATTAATTTTACCCATGACAGATATGGTTATTGCCTATTTCTAGCTTTTATTACTCGCCATCAGATATATTGATTGTTCTGATTCATATTGTTTTCTGAATCCATTTGTTCATATCCTTAACTGTTTCTTTAATAGGGAGATATTAGATTCCATTTCTGAGAAGTATCTAGTGGACACGAAAATGAATAGACCTACATCTGATATATTTACTTTACAAGAATATTTTTAGTTTTCTTCTATAATTGATGGCCGATGAAGGTGTAATTCTGGAAATATAATTAAGCTTAAGCAGTTGGTGTTCAAACGTTCTATATTGCCTAAAGGGATTGATCATATTTTACTTTAAATCTTTAATATCTTGAAATGTCTTTCAAATCCTTAAAATTGCTACCAGGTCCCACAATTCTTATAATTTGTTTCAAAATTAGTCCCTCAATTCTCAAAGCATTCAATTGCTATTTCCTATTCTTAAAATTTGTTTCAAATAATCCTTTCAATAAAGAGTAGTAATAGTGAGATATAAGAATTGGGGAGATCTAATAGCTTCTACAGGCTGTTTGGTTGGATGGAATTAGAGTTGCAAAAGTAAATAGAGCAACATGATTTGTATTTACATTGTTTGGCTTGCAACTTTGTTATTGGCAAAGGTAAATGGACGCAAGTTTGTGGAAAAAAACTTGCAACAAATACTACTGCCAATTTGGTAGGAGAAAAATCTGCAAGCTTCAAAAAAGAAATTAAAAATAAAAATAACTCCATTTCATCAAAATAAATTGTTTTAAATCGAAATAGAAGATCATCTACGCCCAAGTTTCCTTATTTGGCAAAGTTATATAGCTTTTGCACTACTTACTTTTCAACCAAACACTGAATTTGCATTAGAAATATATTTCCTACAATATAATTACATATATCCAAACAATGTATTCGAAGGTGATTTCCTGCAACAAATGCTGCATGCAACATTTGCTGCAATTTATTTTTGCAACAAACCAAACAGCCCCTTAATCTTTAGCGTTTTGCAGGACTGTTAATGGAGAACTCCTTTACCTTTTTATATGTAAAGGTATTCATAGGACTACTGATTTATGCTTCTGCATTTTATGTGCGTTCAATTTTGTTCATGCCGCATTGGAACTTTCTTGTATATTTTCTAAGCATATCATTTCTTCCTGACAGGAGATATCCATGGGCAATACTCTGATCTTCTCCGGCTATTTGAGTATGGTGGGTTACCTCCAGCAGCAAACTATTTGTTTCTAGGTGATTACGTTGATCGTGGCAAGCAAAGCATTGAAACCATATGCCTTCTTCTTGCATACAAGATAAAGTACCCTGAGAACTTCTTTCTCTTGAGAGGAAACCATGAGTGTGCTTCCATTAACCGTATATATGGCTTCTATGACGAATGCAAGAGAAGATTTAATGTTCGTCTGTGGAAAGTTTTTACTGATTGTTTTAATTGCCTTCCTGTTGCTGCACTTATTGACGAGAAGATCCTCTGCATGCACGGGGGATTATCTCCTGACCTGAAGAACTTGGATCAGATACGGAACCTTGCTCGACCGATTGATGTGCCTGACCAAGGCCTTCTCTGTGATTTACTATGGTCCGACCCTGATAAAGAAATCAATGGGTGGGGGGAAAATGATAGAGGTGTTTCCTATACCTTCGGTTTGGATGTGGTGACTGAATTCCTTAAGAAGCACAATATGGATCTCATTTGCCGAGCTCATCAAGTAAGTATATACCAGAACATCTCAATCAAATATTGAGTTTCTTGTCAAAGAGATTAGGCAGAAGTACTTCTCTTGTGCTACAAAATAATGGTAACTTTAACAATTTATTAAAGGTCCACATCATTTGAGGTCACTCAACTCCTTTTACTTAAAGGGAGCATGCTTTTTCGGCACATAACTGAGGTTTTTGAGTCATATCTGATGTGCGGTTCCATCTTTACCACAGAGTTAACATGTGCATTTGACTTTACTGATATAGCTAGGCTAATAATATGACATACCAAGGGTAAACATAAGTCAGTAATATTCCATCTCAGTGGTGAATTATTCCAATAATATCTTATCTCTTTCTACTGTGTTGGCTACTTCTTGTCCGGTTGATTTTCATATCACTTTTTGTTTTTGTCATTTTCTCTGATGTATGAGGGTGAGCAGGTTGTGGAAGATGGTTATGAGTTTTTCGCTAAGCGTCAGCTTGTGACTATATTTTCAGCACCTAACTACTGTGGGGAGTTTGACAATGCTGGTGCTATGATGAGTGTTGATGAGACTTTAACATGCTCCTTTCAGATCCTTAAACCATCTGACAAGAAAGGAAAAATTGGATTCGGTAACAGTATGTCAAAACCAGGAACACCTCCAAGAAAGGTCAGTTTGTCTTTCTCTCTTTCTTTTTCCCCCTTTCACGAAGATTTTTGTTCTTATTTCACATAGTATGGATTGTTGAAGTTATCATATTACCTGAAGTGTTTTTCAGTTGGCATACTAAAAATGTATGCTGCATTTGTGTGTCCATGGAACATGCCAACATGGACATGAAACATAAGACACAGGGAAATTCTAAAAATTCACATATGGATATGTTTTTTTTTCCACATGTTTCCTACACGTGCTTAACACAACATGACTTCATTATACAAGTGCCCATGCTAAAATTATCTAATAGTAAATTTGTAAAATTGACATATAGAGAGAGAGATTTCACTTGCAAAATATGAATCAGTCATAATGCTAAATATAAGCTCATTTTCCTTTTCAGACAAGGTAGGCCAACTTCTTATATTTAAGATCACCAAGTTCTTTTTAGCCTAGGAGGTAAATTAAATATGTGGAAGCGCCATCGACAATTGTAGGCATAAACACTGTCCTTCGCCTAGAAGGTTCTGATATAGCTGACATATTGGATATAGGAATATCAGTATTACCAGTTCCACAGTGGGAATTGGTTATCAAATCAGAAGCTGGATCACACTGTGTATAAATAAAGCTGCTGCCCCTACTCTACCATCCAAGCTGTACACAACAGCTACATGCATGAATCAGATACAACATATAAGAATATGCTGCGATTTCAGAAATGGATAGGGCATGAGCATGAGGACTAAAGGTACCATACATTTAATGTAAGTCAAGATAGGGTGCTTTTACAAATAGTCAAAATCAGAATACTTCCACTTTGAATTGTACGATGTGCATTTGATTAAAGGGGTAAATTTAATGTGAGTTAAGATAGGTTGCTTTTGCAAATAGTCAAAATCGGAATACTTCCACTTTGAGTCGTATGATGTGCATTCCACATTGAAAATCTACCATTTTTCGTGATACATCACCCGTATGCTATCTACAAAATGTATAACATCTTTGATATGTTCTACCCTAACCTCATGCATGTCCCACAGTTATTTTATTTCCATTCAATTCTCCCTCTTTTGAATCTTGACCAACCTATAGTCCCATGAGAAATAGACTGGGAAAAGTCAACTCTTGACTTTTATGAGTGGGTGCAATTTAGTTATGTTTAACACTAGAAGCATGCAACGTTTGTTTCCTCATTTCTAATTAAATTATTTGACATTCCTATGGCCATTCGTCTTTCCCTTCTTTGACCCAGCTCAGTTCCCACACTGAGCAGGTCCATTAAGGGGCTGAACTTAAAAGGAATCATTTATTTTGAGTTATGGCCCTCAGAAAAATGGTGCCTTAAAGAAAATCAGTAAAGAGGATTATATAAATGTACTTTCCTGGTGTCAGACATTATCTTAGGCAAGTGAAGCTTGTGGGCCTAAGGCTCATTCAGGGTGGATATTTCTTAAAATAAAACTTTAAGTTAATTGTCTTTCAATAAACCTGCATCTCTGTATCTTATAGGTTCTGTTTAGTTTAGTCATTTGGTCGCATAAACGTGATGGTCAAAATGAGTGCCTAATGTTCTCTATTTAGAGAGGCAAAAGAACACTAACTCGTGAGCTATAGTATAGTTTACCATCAAAGACTATATTCATCTTGAAATTTCGGACTTTTTGGTTGCATTATTTGACCCTGTATCAAAGCAAGATGTGAAGGTGAGAAGCCTTTCCAGACAAATTAAAATTGGAGCCTGGATCTAGACAAATTTTATTAATGCTCCGATTGTATCTATGTTCAATGAAGAATTATATTAAATACATTGTCTTTTTCTGCACACAAATTTTGTTTCATTTTTATTCTTTTTGATAAAAGTGTTAGCTGCGCAAATTGATGCCTGGATTGAGGCTATTCTCAATGTATGTTATTACATCTGAGATAACTGCTCTGTGCTCTGCACAAATTTTATCATATTGTTATTCTTTTGAACGAAGTCCATAGCCCGTTATTATTATGATCTAATAATTGGTCTGTGTCTGCAATCTTATTATTATTCTTGTTGACGGCCTGATTATGGCTATGTTCAACGTACAAGAAAGAGTTTTCATGAGATGCTTTAGCGCACACTATGCACCCTTTTGACATTAATGATAATAGAGGTTGCATAATGGGTTCGCCTCATCGTGACTTTTGGGCCAAGTTGACCGTACTACTGAGATGGCTAGTTATCACTTATATATTCTTTCACATTCCATGAAGTGAGGTCTTGAAAGCTCATACAATCTGATCTGTGCTCTCTACATGTAGGTTACACTGAGAAGTGAAACCAGTGTGCCACAAGCAGAAAATATGTAAAATA